AAACCACTGTCCGCTCATCCCCACTCTCCCAGGTTCAGGTCACAGGCAGCAAGTCAAGGGCCCTAGGGTGTCAGAGATGCAAAGGACCCCGGAGGGCACTTGTGGTTCTCAGTGGGTAGCATTTTAGGCAGAACAGTTCTTCACTGGGGAGGACGGTCCTGAGCATCATAGGACATTGACCATCCCTGGCCCCCAGGCCCTGGTGGGGAGCACCCTCTTCACTTCCCCTCCCGCCGCATTTCTAACCCTTCTCTCCCAGAGGGTATCCTGGCCCCTGTTGAGAACCACTGTGACCGCCCCTCAGTGAAGAAAGAGCTACAAGGGGAGTGAGGAGAGGAACCGAGAAGGAAGAGGTTTGTTTAAGTTCACAGAAGACCTTTGAAACATGGATCTCAGCCTCCATCTCCCTGTCTCTTTAAGAGCCACAGGGAACAACTCTACTGCTGTGTGTGTGGAAGGTGCTTTAAACACTCCTTGGGGAGCAGAGTATGAGAAAGGACTGGTGGGTGGAGGGTGGGGGAGTCCCTGTTTCCCTTTTGAAACTTTGTCTCAGCTGCTGCTAGTGCAGCCATTGCTACGTGCCCTCCCACTCAGCTGACTCTTTTGTCAACCCAGTGACACTGATCCTCCTTTCCAGAAGGATTATGCAGACAAGTGCAAAAATGGAGAGGAATGTAGGGCTGGAAGTCGCTCCAGGTGTAGGGAGGAGGGGGAACGGGGCTATAAAGCCACTAAAATTATCCACACAGATGGACTAGGACCCCACAGCTGATCGGCCTCTTGCCTGGTATGGTCATTTTCCACCCTCTGGGCCACTCCTAAGCTTCACTATGGCACCCAACACATTTAGAAATGACTTGATGGCCTTATGTCATGCTGAAATAATAGCACAGTGACAGAGTCACCAAACTCTTCCGAGTCCTGACCATCCTATGGTAGGGTTCCCAGTTTGGTGAAGTTATTGGGTCGTAATCAGATTGGTTCCTTTCTCGCTTCCTTGCACAAAGCAAGCTTACCTGCTTGGTGAAGGCCATAGGCAGAAGCCAAAGAGCTGCTTTTCTCCAGACACACCTCTGGGAACCAGGGTGCCCGGGGTTCTGGTGAGGAGCCATGGCAGCGGCAGGGATCTGGACAGGGAGGGAGGGGCTTGTGGACCCCACCTCTCTCAGGCCTTCATTTCACTCTCACTTCCTCATCTCTCTTCCAACATGGCAGCCCCTGTAATCCCTTACCCAGCCCTGCAGCTCAGAAGTCAGGGTGTAGAAGGACTTAGGGAGAGGATCTTCTCTCTTGTCACACCTCAATCCATTCTGAAACTTCGGCCAAGGTATTTGCTGTCTAGATTCCCTTCCCGGCCTCCAAGCATGGGGAAAAGAGAAAAGAGGTGGCGAAGGCTTCCGTCACCAAGAATAACCACGGTCTTGCTGGATTGGCTCATATAAAACTGGCCACAGGAACCCACAAGCCACCTGGGCTCCCTCGATGGTCAGTCTTCCAAGGCTAACTGGTTGTAGTTGTGAAAAAAACTCTCCAGGTTCTGACCCACTGGGAGGAGTGTATGAAGAGCCCTTGGAATTAGGGCTTCGCCCAGGAGAGAGGGCTGTGGGGACAGGACATGGGTCTGCAGGGTTTAGGGGCTGGTGGCAGCCACACTTTACCATTTTGGAAAAGGTAATGTGTTCAGTGAAGCCATCGCCTTGGTGTTCCTGGGGTCTCCCGCTGGGCACGGAGGGAGGAGGGGGCTGGAAGGGAATCCCCATCTTTCTGCAGGTCTTCCTTCCCGACCCCTCTGGTGACTACTGCCCTCTCCCTAGTCTTGCTCCCTATTGTCAGGCCCACTCCCACACTTCAGGTGGGTAAGCGGGGAGAGGGCGAGTGGGGCCTAACACTGGAAAGTGGATTTGCACTCACAACTGTGGCAGTCTAACAGCTGTCCTCTGCAGGCTCAGGCGTGGACCCTTGCCTTGGCTGCATGACAAAGTAGCCAGAGGTCAGGCTACGGGCACGGCCTAGGGGAGGACTGAGAACTGGGTTTCTCTATCTGGCCCCCAGGAGAAAGGGCAGTTGGGTTCCTCCCAGAGTGACTTCAGTGGGACCCAAAGCCAGGGCCAGGCCAGGGTCACACCCTCGAACTTCACCTCTGTAACCTCATTACCCAGAGGCCCAGGCAGGACTGGGCACGGCTGAGCCGCTGAATCACTCGATGGCCTCATCTTCCCCTCTCAGCAGACCCTGTATTTTCATCTTAACATTCTGTTAGTTTTTAAGGCCAACCCTTAGTTCTCCCAAACTGACTGATCAAATGGTAGATCTCCAAGTCTGGTCCCTGGACCAGCCCCATCGGCACCACTTGGGGAACTTGTTAGAACAGCATGTTCTCAGACCCTATCCAGGTCTGCTGAATCAGAAACACCAGGGGAGGCCCCCCACCAATCTGTTTTGACAAGCCCTACGGGTCTTTCTACGCATGCCCAAGGGTGACAGGACCCTTCTCTCTATCTTCAGCCGGGCCCTTGTGCTGTGTGCAGCCCTTTCTTCATCCTGTACTGATAACCCACCCTCTTCCTCGCTCCCACTGGGTGACTAGGCCTCCTTCACTGGCAGGATAAAAGCCATTTGATGTATAGTCCATCCACTTCTCCCTCGGCCACCTTAAACGCTCCCTCATTCCCCCCTTTCCTTTGCTCCTACCCTCTCAACAGCGGTCTTCCGCAGGCACAGGCATGCACTGCACACTCCTGATCCAGCCCTTCTCTGATTATTCCTTTCCAATCTCCTGTTCTGGTTCTTCTTTCTCTGGCCTACTTAGGGCCTTGATTTCACTTCTTTTTCTCTTCTCATTCTCCTCACAAACTTCTCCAGCTATTGTTTCAGCTGTCACTTCTAAGTAGATGGTTCTAATATTATCCCTATTCCCCAACTTCCCCCAACTCCAGACCTGCACTTTTCAGCAGCTTCTAGGACATGCCCCCCGGATGCCTAAGAAGCACCTCAAATTCCACGGTCCAGCTTCAAACTCACCTTCTTCCTCCACTCTTCTCAAAGCACCACCACCACCTAGCTTATCATCCTGACTTTTGTCTGCACAACCAGTTTCTAAGATCTTATCGGCTTTATCATCCCTCGGCAATCATGGTAACCTTCTCTGGTTAAAAACTTAACATGCCTTGGGCTGCAAAGTTCCTGAGGATCCAAGTAAAATGGATCCAATAGGAATCATCTTAAAAAACAACAGCTGACATCCATTCTGTGTCTAAATCAGTCAGGTAGAATACTTAGGGTTTCAAGTACTCTGCGGTCGAGTCTAGAGGAAAGTGAAGGACTTTGTGGACTGCTCAACATTTGCTGAAGATTGGGAGCTCCTAAGAGAAGGACTCAACCCTCCCTGGGCAGAGACGATAACAAATCAGATTAAAGGGCCTCCCTCTCCTGCTTCGTGAGTAATCAGACTCCTATTTCTGGGTCACTCACTCTATGGGAAGGGTTCACATGTTCATAGTCCTCTGAACAACTGCTACTTTGTTCAGTGAAAGCAATGAAAGAATGGATGTTTGAATCCGAAAGGAGGAGAGACAGGGCTAGAATCAGGGTCAAGGGTAAGCGTGGTGGTCAGCATCAGGGGCACGATTAGGGTCAGAGGCCATGTATGAAATGTTTGAAGCCATCCTGCTTCCTAAAAGGACAAACCGATGATGAAACCATCCTGATCTCCAGCGTCCCCTGCTATAGGCCCACCCAACCCTCCCTCCACTTTGTCATTCCTCCCCTTTCAAATCCTGGACTCCAGTCATTTTAGCCAAGGCCTTCCTGGCTGTCAATGCTGAACCCTGGGGTTGGCAGAAGGAAGCAGAATGAAGACACACCAGGAACCTTCCTTGGCACTGACAATACTTCGTCTTGTCCAGTTCTTCCAAAGACAGATCCAACAGCCCTCTTCCCCACCACCTTCCCAGAGTCAGGGGAGCTGGGCTCTAGCCCCATTTCCATCACTGACCAGCTATAAATTCAGTACAAATAACAACCTTGTTTTGTACTCTGGTTTCTTCACTGGACAATGAAAATTGTAAAACTCTGCCTGCTTCCTCTACAGGATTGATGGGACAATAATTAACAAATCCCTCTCATCACCCCTTCTAACTTACTCCTGACCACCACTTGTGAGATAGGCAGGGAAAGCATTTTCATCTTCTTAGTCACATGAGGAAACAAGGGCTCCCAAAGGATTTTCCCAGGCCACTCAACCTGGACCTCTGTGCACTGTGCCACGTGGTCCCAGCATGGTCAGGACCGCACATGCCACAGCATGCTGCTGTTATTAATAAAAGTAGTATTTTTTTCCCAGTGTAATTATGGCCCAAATATTTGCCAGTGGATTATCACTGGGTACTTTGGGCATCCTTAGCATCTGCAATCTGTCATTTCTTAAGTGGGCCATTCTGACCTACGAAGTAGGTATGGAATCACTAGCCTCAGGGCTAAAACAGGGGAGGGTAGAGTCGGCCAAGGACAAGGATGAGCCTGAGAGTATTTCTGATGCCACCATCCACGAAGGGCAATCACACTGAGTGCTATAGAGTTTCAGGAAAAGTTAATCAATTCTAACAATCCATTTTGGAGGTGAGAGGACTTATGCCCCAAAAGGTTTCATGACATGCCTAAGGTCACATAGCTCATCAGTAGCTGAGCTGGCTCCTGACCCAGTTTTCGAATTCTAAGTTCAGTGCTCCTTCCAGACTGCCAGGATTTCGGGCTATTCTCTATCTCACACTGTCTGGGGCTTATCCCTCCAACTATGTCTACAACTCAGTCAGTAGAGTAAGAGGAATGGGGGTGATGTGCATGGTGGGTCCTTTTCCGGAAGAGATGTCCCCTGAGTGAAGGGCAGTCCTCTTGGAGAGGACCGTCTGGTTCAAATGACAAGCCCAGGACACAGCTTTGTCCCCAAGGGCCAGGACAACTCCACAGATATGTGTGTGGGGCCTTGAGGAAATACTACTCACGACTTGTCTCGCCTGCCGAGCCGTCTCGGGGGGCTTGCCTGTCTCCTTCGGGGGGACAAGGATTTTCCCCGACTTCTCACTTGGGTTGGAGAGTGGGCACTTGCAGGTTTCAGGATCTGAAGAAGATATGAGGAGTTACCACACAGGCCCCGCCCTCCTGTCTTCCTACAGCCCAGCATCCCAGCCCCAGCCCATTCACGATCCCATGGTTAAGAAGGCCCTGAGTTGGATGACTTCCGGGAGGAGGTCTGAGACACAGAGTTCCTCTCTCGTTCTGCACTGGAGAGAAGCAAAGGCGCTACTTCCCAGGAGATGATATGATTACACTGCACCCCCTTTTTCCACGGCACAGAGGAGCAGAGCCCAGTGCCTCCGCCTCCCGGGGCTGTGTTTAGTTGCTCAGCAAGTTCCTCTCTCGTGAGAGCAGAGTCCCAGCTACATTGCCCCAGAAACCAGCCTGTTCTTCCTGACTCTCCCAACCACACACGCACAGAGTGGTTTCAATTAATCAAGAATCTCCACTCCAAGTCCCACAGAGTGAAGATGACAAGTCCCCATGTGCTAAACACGAGAGAGCCTGAATTCAGATAATCCTTTTCCCCTGTGGTCTTCAGTGTCTGCACAGGCTTTCTCTCCGTGACTCTACAAGCCCTGGAGGGACAAGGACAAGCAGGCATGTCATCTCGGAAGTGACATGGTAGAAAGAAGAAGGGCTTTATGAGTAGAGTTGATATAAAGTCAGCACAGTGCATGCTCCTTTGTTTGCTTTTGTGACACCAGATCAGAATTTTTTGCCAAAGGGCTTTGCAACTCATAAAGCAAAGCAGAGATATAATGTGACTCTGAAATAGGTTATAAAGCAGGGTGACCCATTCATCCTGGTTTGCCCGGGACCTTCCTGGTTTTAAAGACTGAAAATCTCATGTCCTGGGAAAGCCTTCAGTTTCAGAAAAACTGAGATGATTGGCCACTCTATTACACAGACAAGACAGAACTAGAGCCTTAGTAGAAAATGACTGACATTTTAGATTGATTTCATGGAAGGAATCGCAGGCCAAGATGTTGCTTTAACTATAACATCTAAGTGGAGTTGAGCTCTGGTTTTTGAAGTAGTATTTGCAAAGAGAGACTTTAATCGTCCATGTCAAATAGCAAGTGACTTATCTTTTTTTGTTTTCAGAGTAGCTACCAAGCAAGATAACCTCAAAGAAACTTTTGACCATCCCAAAACTATGGTGCACGGGGCAAGAGGAAGAGAGGAAGAGAGGGGGAGAACGGATAAAGAACTCTTGCATCGCTCATTTGCCTTCCCAGCACCTACCTTCATTCTCAAGTCCCTGGCATATTTCTCCAGCTCCTTCCGTATGTCAGCCCTCAGCATCTTTGAGACATTGAGGACCAGCTGTTTCCACTCAATGGGCTGGAAGCTATGAGGCTCATGGGGGACGTACAGCCCAATTTTGACCTTCTTGACTGTGTGCAGGTATTTCTTGTAGGAGTCTTCAAAGTCAAAGATAAGGTCACTCAGAGTCCTAAAGGTCAACGGCTTGTCCATCAGCTCAGCCCTTCGGCTCATGCCCAGTGAGCCATAGCGGCCATTGCAGTAAATCCCCAGCACAACATGGTGAAAGTAGTTTCCTGAGAAGTAGGTTTTAAAGCTGATGGGGAATCGCTCGATGGAAGGCTGTCCATTGGTTAAGTATCTTAGACAATCTGAGTTAAGGAAGAGAAAGGAGGCCTTGAAAATTCAGAGCCCGGATTCCCAGGAAGGGCAAGGAGCCCAAACAGTCGGTGAGTCCATCCCTGCGCCTCTGAGCAGGACCACAGGTAACCTTCACAGGTAACTTTTTATAAGTGAGTCTTATAAAGGACTCACTTGATTATCTTGGAGTACCTAGTAGTATATGACGCAAACCAAAATCAAATTAACATGGGACAAAGAGGAAAAACTTGCTATCTTCTTTAGTACTTAAATAAATGTAAAACAAAACAATAACAAGGTACTTTCTCCTCCCTAGGTTTTCTACATGGATGATAAGCTATTAATGGTTTTTCTTTTTTCAATACAATCAGAATGACATGCTCAGATGTTAATTCTGGCTGGAGTACATGGGACAGACCAGGAATTAAAGGCCTCTGCAGTGGTTCAGGGGAGAAATGACAAACAGAATCCAGGCAAGGCAATGGAGATGTAGAAGAGACAGGCCGCCTGATTATCTAGATCAGGGGTCAGCAAACTGCGGCTCCTGAGCCACGTGCGGTTCTTTGGGTACGTACATGTGGCTCTGAAGTAAAATTGAAAATGAAAATAAAACTATCATAGTTCCATTGATAAAATTTTTAAAGGATATTATTCATGTAATGGTGATTTCATTTGTTTTATGGCTCTCGAATAATTTTTCAATTGTTGTGAGGGACAGGACTGGCTCTTCCGTCTCAAAAGTTTGCCGACCCCTGATCTAGATGGCAAGGGACAGAAAGGTGTCAGAATGGCTCATACGTGTACCTCATCTGCCCCTCTCCTTGACCCCGTCACAGCCATGGCAGTAGCTTTGGGTACCTCCCAGAAAACTGGCTGCAACGCCTCAGGCTCCCCTCAGTCCCCAACCCACTTGGCATCACAGCTCAGTTCTCTCCACATATTGGCCCATGTGGATGGAGTAACCGAGCCCCTGGCTATAACCTCAGTTTAGGCCCAGTAACCCTACAGGGCGCAGCTTCAAGTAACTGCTCCACTGACTCCACATCCTGGGATGATGGACAAGAGGCACCTATCCTCAAGTCCATCTCGAAGTGTCTGGACAGCCCTGGCAAGGCACGGGCACCCAAGGACCCAGCTTTTCTGGAGAGGGATAGTGGAAACTCATAAAGTCACTCCTCTGCTGAAAATCTCGGTGACGCCAGAGTGTCCCTAAATAATAATCCAGGTGCTTAACACGGTGGCTCGTGCACTGTAAGTGCTCGGCAAGTGGGTCTAGTTTTCCGTTCTGAGAATTTGTCTTCACCATTTCTTGTCCCCACTCCAACTTACCTTCCACACAGTGACCTGAATGACCCACTTAAGCCAAAACTTGGTACATATCACTCTTCTGCTTAAGTTTTCAGTGTCTGTCATCTTCTCCAGGACTTGAGCCAAATCCCTTAGCGAAGTCCTGCCATGATTTTGGTCCCTGCCCGTCGTTTCTTTGTAGTCTCATCCCTCTCCTCCCCCACAACACACACCCTGGGCTAGCCCCCGACCCATGACATTTTTTAAGACTACACCCTGAGACCAGATCTATACCCATTGCCCTCTGCATACATACTCCCCCATAACATGAAGTTAAATATAATTGAAAAATTTAAATGACTTTGAAATGGCCTTTATATTACAAAGCTATGAGACCAAAGTGATCTATGAAACTTTCAAAAATATGCCACTAAACACACTCTATACTACATCATGTCCCTTCTTTTATGGCTTCACTCACACATCAGCCTTACAGTGCAGGGGACTCACACCTGGCAGAGATATTTGGTGTCTCCTAAGAATCATTAGTGATAGGGATGCCGTGGGCTCACACAGGCTGCACTCTGAATGGAACAGCCTCACTGTTATCCCCTCCCCCTTCCTGGGTGTGATAACCTTCCTTGAACTTCCTTATCCAGGTTTAGGCATTCCACCCCACCCCCACCCCATACGAACTCCCATAGCACTGGGTGCTAAATCAGCCAACATTCTGTTTGTTTGTATCCTGTGAGGGCAGGGGTTGTGTTGTGCATCCTGGTATCCCTGGGCATAGCATGGGCCTCGCACACAGAAAGGCTTGGTTAATGCTTGCTGAAAGCAGGAACTTAAGATTGTGAGGATACATATCCTTACACTTAAAAGGACTGCACTCAATGGAGGGCTAATCCTGGTACCCTTGATAGAAAGAAGCTGACAGAACTCCGCCCCAGCCCTGAAGTCAGCCTTGTCCTCTGCCCTCAATTTAATAACAGAGGGCTCCTCTCTACAAAAATGGTTACCTGCTTTCTCTTCACTTGATCATGTGAGATTCACTGGCAGTCAGGGAGTGAAATCACATCCTTCTGAGTCCTCTTACATAAATGCTTTCTTGCTTTCTGGGACGCGTTCTCTGGGGCTGGAATAAGGGCATTCCTTAGTGGCTTAAGTCGGTGCAACAAACACTTACTAAGCGAGTAGCTTCTGTTCCAGATGGGCTTGCTGGGCAGGGCTGGGGAGCTAAAGAACACAGACTTTCTCCAGAAATCTGGTGGGAAGACAGACTCAAAACAGATACAGTATCATCGGTATGCCAGTTCCTCAAAAAATTAAACATAGAATTACCACAGGATCCAGCAATTCCACTTCTGAGTAGGTACCCCAAAGAATTAAAAGCGAGGGACTCACAGAGATATTTGTATACCCATGTTCACAGCTACATTGATCACTATAGCCAAAAGATGGAAACAACCCAAGTGTCCATGGATGGATGAATGGATAAACAAATGTGGTTTATACATACAATGGATTATTATTTGGCCTTAAGTAAGAAGAGAATTCTGACACATGCTACGACATGGATGACTCTTGAGGACATTATGCTAAGTGAAATGAGTCAGTCACAAAAGGACAAATACTATTGGGTTGTCGGAACAGTCATGACATATTTTTTTCTATGTTTTTTGTTGCAAAAATGCATCATGACTTTTCCGACAACCCAATATATAATTCCACTTTATGAGGTACCGGAGTTATCAAATTCATAGAGACAAAATAGAATGGTGGTTGCGAAGGGCTGAGGACAGGGCGGGAATGGGAGTTAGTGTTTAATGGGTGTGGTGTTTCAGTTGGGGAAGATAAAGTTCTCTAGATGGATGGTGGCTATGGCTGCACAACAAATGTGAATGGTCTCAATGCCACTGAAGTATACACTTTAAAATAGTTAAAATGGTCAATTTATGTTATGAATCTTTTACCACATTTTTTTTCAAACCCTTATTTGCAATATATGTAGGTTGAGTCATTACGCTATACACCGTCAACTTATACAATGCCATATGTCAGTTATATCTCAATAAAACTGAGAGAAAAAAAACCAAAATGTGATGTGTGCTGTAAGAGAGACAAGTCCAGTGACCACAGGGAGAGCAGAGAGGAAGCCCTAAAATTAGTCTTACGGAGAAGTGGGAGTGGGGGAAGGACTGGAGAGGCCACCAGTCCATTCTGTCACAAGTCACCAGTCTCTAGGATGTGTTCCATCATTATGGCCATCTGTAAAGCCCTGGGACCTGGAACAACTAGGAACCAAGGAGGGGACAAGGAAGGGGGGATGAGGACAGAGGAGTAGCCTGAACTCTAGGGAAGAGAGAGCAGCAGGGCCCCAAGCTCCTGGTAGATCTGCCCAGCACCCAGCCAGCCGGGTATATGCCTAACCCACCTCTACTAACAAACCTGTTACTTGAATGAACCATCATATTTTATTACCAGGATTAAGCTCCACCAACAGTGAGGGCCTCAAAAGAGCAGCCATGATTTGGAAGATAATTGGAACCAAAGGTTTATCCCTCCAGTATGCATGAGAAAGTGTGCACACATGCTCAAGCAAGATCAAAAGCAGAGGCTCTTCAAGAATGAATCCCAGAGAGACATCCAAGATGGCGGAGCAGAAAAACACTGTGACTGCCTCCTTCTGCGAACACATTAAAATTACAAGTAAATTATAGAGCAATCAACCTGGAGCACCATCTGAAGACTAGCGGAACAGAGTTTTATAACTAAGAATATAAAGAAGCCACATCAAGGGCCGTCCGAGTGGCACGATGGTTAAGAACTGGCTTGGGACGCCAGAGGGCCCCGGTTCGGATCCCACATATGAGGGCCAGTGACACTGCCCTCCACAGCTAAGATGCTGAACAACAGCTCAACCTGGAGCTGGGCTGCAGTGAGTCGCTGGCGATGGCATAGGCTGCGGCCCCTGTGGCAGTGGGTTGCCATGGGCTACCATATGTAGCCAGCAGCCGCGGTGAGCGGCAGTCCAGAAGCCGGCGACTGATCTGCTTCACCCGGGAAGAGCACAATGATGGTGCCAACTTGGGCCAGTGAAGCAACATCCTCCACAATTAAACTGAAGAACAAAACAATAGCAACTTGTCTGTTCCCCTTCCCCCAATTCCCCAGCACAGTTCCCATCCCCCAATTCCCCAATAAAAATCTTTAAAAAAAAAAAAAGAAGCCACATCAAGACGGGTAGGAGGGATGGAGATGTGAAAAGGGCCAGCCCCAAACTTCCGTGTGGCGGCTGAGAATCAGGAGGGCCATCTCGGCTGTGGAGGTTCAACCTAGAGGAGCAAAGGGTCCCAGCCCCACACCCGCCTCCCCAGCCTGGAAGAGGAGCCCTCACATCTGGCTGTGAAAAACAGTGGGGAGTCCAACCATTCCGGGTGGGAGAGAAGGCTGCAGGAAACCCAGACAACCTCTTAAATGGCCCACATACAGACTCACTCACTGGCAGGCACTTACCATGGGCTCTGGTGGAGGAACAGTGCCTCGGGGGCATCAGAGGTATCCTGGGGGGAGGGGGCGTGACTGAGGTATTTGGCCTCAGGGGGAGGCCTGGAGGACAGCTGCCATTTTTGCTGTGAGGGGGCCTCCTCCCATATAGACAGCAAGCAGGCACCATCTTTCCTGTGTTAAGCCCGCCCCCTATAGCCAAATCTG